ATAACATTACATACATACATAACATTAATTACATACATACATACATACATACATACATACATACATACATACATACATTACATACATACATTACATACATACATTACATACATACATTACATACATACATTACATACATACATTACATACATACATTACATACATACATTACATACATACATACATACATACATACCTACAATACAATACAATACAATACAATACATTACATTACATTACATTACAGTACATTACATTACATACATACATACATATATGTTTTTAATTCAATTATATAATACTACATATTTAATTATATATTATATATTATATATTGACTCTAATCTAAGAAAATTCGCTCCTGCACAATCCACTAATGACTGCAAGTGACCACCACTGCTGCCTTGTGAGCTGCCAGCTGCTGGGCGCCAAGTTCCAAATTGGCCGCCTCTAGCTGCAGTTCTTCGTATCTTAATTCCAAATGCAAGACCTTCACACAGGCAAGACTTGGCTTGGACGGCGTGGACGACCTGGAACCCATTAATTTTACATCGGTCTTCCGTCACACCGAACCCGAAAAAACATTAACGATTTCTGGTTCCTTGCTCTTGCTGGATGGGGACTCCGATTTGACACGTCTCTTTTGACCATCTGTGCTCAGGAACCTCCGAAGAGCAAGCAGCACTGATTTCGACAAAACATGCATTGATGGTTTGGCACCTCGTTGCACAGCATCCTTTTCATCTCCCCAAGAAATTCAGCAATGCCAATGGTGCAATTGTTTTGTTCTGGGTGCACCTCAGCAGGGTTTTTCATACTGGGTAATTACCACTGAGCTGGATGGTTGAGTTGAAGACCCAAAAATAAAAGGTTTCTTCAACCAACCAGCTAAATGACAGGAAGAAAGGTTCCACAACAACGGCAAAAGTGAAATATTGCCACATCACACATGCGGAACCCACTTGTTTGCTGATCCGTCTGGAGCACTGGAAATTTATGTTCATCATGCTGCGCAGGGGTCCGGCACAAAGGGCAAATACTTCGCCTTCCAAGAAAAAGTCTGGAACAAAACAGGTTTCAAAAAGGTGCACAAACATCAGGAACCTGTCAATTGTCAATTTTTTTTTTTGCATCGAAACCCATGAATGCAAAATGCCTCGTTCCTGTTTTTTTCCGTATCCCGTTTTCTATTTTCGGTTTCCCATGCGAATCAAAAACAGAATTCGACTTTGGACGCCTGGTAAGCCAATCCGAAATACACTCCTGATGCCACTGGCAATGGCCACACGGCAAGAAGCATCCAACGTGCGAAACTTCTCCGCAACAAATCACACACTCCATGGCTGTGCATGGGTAAAAATCTCATGAATGCCAATTGTTTTGATGTTTGATGATTTTTGCACATGGTCGGAAAAGTTGGAGCGAACTTGTACGAATCACCGACATCGTTGCATGTCACCGGCAAAAAAATAAAACATAATGTATCCACATGTTCACTGTCAGTTTAAACCCATTTTATTTGCATGTTTGTTTCCATGTATTTCATGTACAAAACAAGATATGGTGGTGCGCTAAAGATTTTTTTGGTAATTAGTAATTGGTGTCATGCCACCATGTCAATTCAGTTTCACAACCAAAAACCTTCATATGGAAATAATCAACTTGATCGAAACGGCCACACGCACAATTTTGCCAAGAACTATCCAGTACAATGCAAAATGACAAAATAATGAATTATTCCTGATTCCTGACCCATGGTTGCTACCTACGCGACAAATTACCGTGCGAAACTTCTGTCAAAAACATCGACCACATCAAAACCCTTTCCAACGTCAAACTGTGACATCGAAAAACCACCATGGAAAACGTCACATGAAAAATGATAGATCTTTAAGTCGTGCACTGATGCAGCAGTGGGCCCCTGAAGTTATTTTATTTTATTTTAATTATATTTTGCTTTGAGTTAATAAAAAAAATAGGAATAAGTAGGGTTAAGATAAGATATATTTTTTTTAAGTAGCATAACTATGTTGGAATTTGTAAGTAAGCTACACTGGCTATGGATTTTACAAGTTGTTTATTTATCTATTATAATTTCATCGTATTTTGGTTTGTCGAAGTGATTTCGATGTTGTTTTTCTATTGATTTTTTACAACATGTTTTTAATGTTTTCCATTTTTTATATATTTTTGAAATATCCTGCTTTCGTTTTAACAAAAATTTTGTATATTTTGTAATATTTATTTTTTGATTGCGGTAGCGGTAGCTCCGCTGTATCCTGTGCAATTACTTGGCATTTTGCGGTTGTTCCGCTTTTATTGTTTTCGTGTGTTTGTCTGCGGTGTTTCCGTTTTTATTTCGTTTGTTCCCCACCTGCCAGGTGAGGGTTGTTAGATTTTATGTCAGTTGCCTCCTCCTCCTCCTGCTCCTCCTCCTCCTCCGCCTCCTCCTGCCTCGTCCTCCTCTCCTCCTCCTCCTCGTCCTCCTTGTCATCCTTGTCGTCCTTGTCGTCCTCGTCGTCCTCGTCGTCCTCGTCGTCCTCGTCTCAACTGCGACCCGCGATCCACAGTGTTCTCTGCCGGACCTCAACCACGACCATCCACGCCCAGTGTTCCCTGCCGGACCTCAACCACGACCATCCACGCCCAGTGTTCCCTGCCGGACCTCAACCACGACCATCCCACGCCCAGTGTTCCCTGCCGGACCTCAACTGCGAGTATCCACGCCAAGTGTTCCCTGCCGGACCTCATGTAGGAATGTCAGATAGACTGCCAGATAGAATGCCAGATAGAATGTCAGATAGGATGCCAGATAGAATGCCAGATAGAATGCCAGAAAGAATGCCAGAAAGAATGCCAGATAGAATGCCAGATAGAATGTCAGATAGGATGCCAGATAGAATGCCAGATAGAATGCCAGAAAGAATGCCAGAAAGAATGCCAGATAGAATGCCAGATAGACTGCCAGATAGAATGTCAGATAGAATGTCAGATATAATGCCAGATAGAATGCCAACATATATGCCAGAATATATGTCAGATAGAATGCCAAAATATATGTCAGATATAATGCCAGATAGAATGCCAACATATATGCCAGAATATATGTCAGATAGAATGCCAAAATATATGTCAGATATAATGCCAGATAGAATGCCAGAATATATGCCAGAATATATGTCAGATAGAATGCCAGAATATATGTCAGAATAAATGACAGGTAGAATGCCAGAATATATGTCAGATGAAATGTCAGAAAATATGTCAGATAGAATGCCAGATAGACTGCCAGATAGAATGCCAGGTGGAATGTCAGGATATATGCCAGATAGAATGCCAGAATATATGCCAGAATATATGTCAGATAGGATGTCAGAATATACTAAATATATGTCCAAATATACGTCCTGACATGTCATGGTGGGGATCACACGAAGTAGAGTAATTTTTTTTTGCAGTGTGCAGTTGCTCCGCTGTTATTTTTTTTGCGGAGATCCGCCTCTTTGAGAGAAAGATACCAGTTTTAGCTCAGCAGCAAAATGCAAAAAAAAATAGTGCCAAAACAACAGGATGAATCTGGCAATGGAACCGAAACGAGAGACTGAACAGCACCAAGTGCATCCATGAAAAAATCAAATTGAGATCATCTATCGATTGCAGTTGGTGGTCCAACTACAGACGGTCATCCATCTTCGTAGCTTGCATGCATCGACTCTTCAGCTGAGAAAATCAATATACGCGGGAGTCCGTGTATCGATGTTGCAAACCCAACTGGACGGTAATCCGTCCTAGCAACTTCTAGGTTGTTGATATAGCGGCATGGAAGATTTTGAATTTAGGTAGCTTGGCTAACAGAATTTAAGGTGTCTTCATGTTATCACCGATACAAAGGTATATTGGAACTTGTCGAATGAAAAGATCTGGAGTGTCAAGCACTTTGGCTGAAAAGTTTTTTCCAGAGATCTGAGCGCGATGGCAGACGCTTTGGAGCAGCCATGTGCCACTTCATGTGCTGAAGCGATAAGTCAGTTGGAACTGAGCACTTTGGATGCAGAAGGGAGGCAGAAGGTGCAGGATGTCTTGAGAAGGAAAGGATCTGAGACAACCAATGGCCGGCAAAAGATGCAGGACGTCTCAGCCTTTGCTCTCTACTTTCCGGAGTCTACGTGGATACTTATGATGCAGTCCGAAGTGGATCACATGCGGATCGTGCAAGCAATGGTTAAGTGGTTTGCTGAGGTGCCCCTCTGAGCTGACCTGTGCTAGTTTGACTGCGTTTCTTCTCTTGCGAGAACCTGAGGAGAAGCGGCAGCAACTACGAACAATGTGGAGGTTTTCTTAGCTACGGTGAAGGCAGAGGGTGCATCCGTCCTGACTCGCTACAAGTATCATCGTGTGCCCCCTGAGAAGTACATAGTCCAGGTCCCTCTTGATCGCGTTGATCTTCCACCGGGTGCAAACAGTGATGCCGTGGTTCAATGTGTATCACGGCGGATTCGGCTGTCAGATATCTTGATGGTTGCTAGCACAATACCAATGCGACAGAGAGGGAAAGCAAAAAAGGGAAGTGTGACCGAAGCCGATGCAGTACATGTCTCAGAGCAGTCAGGGTTCTTCCAGCTCCTCTACCATGAACTTGCAACTGAACTTTTTTTGGGGTTTGACGGCCGTTTATGCTCCGAGTCTTACTCGCGGACCAGCGGGGAATCGCACCACCACCGGCAATTTATCCGCGACGTCAAGAATGCCGCGATACCAACTGAGCCACGAGCACGACTATGAACTTGCCACTGAACAGGAAGGAAAGAAATCTGCTGGCAGGGACCTCCAATTCCTCCAAGTCACTGACAGTTACTGCGCAGCCTGCGGCAGCTGAGACGGTTTCAGCTACTCAAATCAGGCTCCTGCTGAGAAGTCTGAGGAGATGGATTACCATCTTCAGAGTTTGGGAATACCGTTTCCAATAGTGACGTGCAAACGTTGCCTTCTGAGAAAGTTGAGGGAGGCGAGAAGGAGGCTGAGGAAAAAGCAGTGCCACCTGTGTCTTTTAGCACACAATTTGAAGCGACTGCAGCATGCATCGGGTGGCGAAGAAGAGACCAGCCAGCCAGATCCAAGAGCAGCAAAGCACAACTGTGGACCAAAGCCAAAGGCCAAATCTTTTGTTTCCAAAATGAAGAAGAAACAAACACCGGTGCTGAAACGTCCCGCCTCCTCATCGAAGAGTGCCAGCACTGGTGAGATGATATCCACCTCAGACCAAAGGAAAGAAGATCCCGACCAAACGGCAGTGCATCGAAATATGTCCAAAAGGATGTAGCCGCTGCCGCAACACGCCCGGACACGCACCAAGTTGTTGGTTGAAAAAGGGCAGGACAGTGTAGTGTGCTGGTCAGAGCTCTTCAATTCGTCACGCGTCGTCTCTTAACGCGCCATTCCACTGTAAAGGATGGATGTCTCCAGTTGCGTTCGATCACAAACAGCGCTGTGCTATTTGCAACAGGACATTGAGATATGAATGATGCACCTACACAGTAGCAACCTGTGATTAGTCTTTAAGAAAGGTCATGCATTCCAGACTGTGATCCGTCTACATGGCAAGATTCCAGTAGAATGCAACATGACGCTTTATCTCAGAAGTTGGGTATTTCGTAGATTTGCCGACGCTGGCGTCATCACAGGCGGTTTTGGGTCTTTTTTACTGCCAGTTTGCATTTGCGAAAATTCGGGCTTACAACCACTAGTCGCGTCGCGCGTGCGCCGTCCTACGCTTTCGGTCCGAGCCGTTGAGGCTGCCGATGAATACACTTGCAAACACACGCAAGTTGAAAACACCCAAATTGCACTTGACCTCGCCCTCACCCTTTTCACGCAACACACAAAGACAAAAAAGTAAGCTGTCTTGGCTCTGTCGGTGTGGTACTGTACTGTACTGTATTGTCTCCTGTTTCTTTTATTCTGTTGACGTGCATCGTGCTGGAGCAAATATTCCAGAGCAAAATCATCCCAGAGTCTTCAGTGAAAATCGGCCATGCAAACGTTGTTTGAAATAAACATTCCACTCGGCAAAAATGCAGTTTCCAGTCACTTGCATGCAGCAAAACAAAAAACATTCCACAAACTTCTCGTCCACAAAGTTGTTGAAATAAAACCAGGTTGAAAAAGGTTTGGAGTTTGTTGTCGAGCACGCACATGCGAAGATAGCAAACGTTATTCCAAATTGCCATGCAGTGGCAAATCCAACATCCATCATCTTCACAAAGTTCCGCAACTCTCCAAAAATCAGTTTCCAGCAAACGTTGTTTCGCACAAAAACATATTCAACCGTCAATGAGGCTTGTCGAAAAACATCATGCAGAAT